TTTCACAACAACCTCCTAAAAATGAAATATCTAGGAATCAATCTAATGAATGAGACAAAAGACCTCTCCACTGAAAATTACAGCACCCTGAAAAAAAGAGACAGAGGAGGATAAAAGAAAATGGAAAGACATCCCTTGATCCTGGGTAGGAAGAATCAACATAGTGAAAATGGCCATGCTGCCAAAGCTGCTATACAGATTCAATGCAATCTTGACCAAAATCCCAACAGTATATTTCACAGAACTTGAAAAAACAATCCAAAAATTCATTAGGAACCAAAAGAGACCTAGAATAGCAGAATCCATTCTAGGCAACAGAGACATGGCAGAGGGATATCACAAGTCCCAACTTGAAACTATACTACAAAGCCACCATGATAAAAATAGCATGGTACTGACAAAGAAACAGCCCTGAGGATCAATGGAATAGATTAGAAGATGCAGAAACAACACCTGACATACTCAGCTACCTCATCCTTGACAAAGGAGCCAACTGTACTCAATCGGGGATAGATAGTCTCTTTAATAAATGGTGTTGGAAAAACTGGCGTTCAACTTGCCAAAGATTAAAACTAGATCCCCATCTTTCACTGTGTACTAAACTAAAATCCAAATGGATTAATGATCTAAATATCAAAACAGAAACACTAAACTTACTGGAAAAGTAAATTAGGTAGAACTCTCAAAGCTATTGGCATGGGCGAAGACTTTATGAACAAATCCTCAGCATTATGAGAACTTGCATGAAGAATAAATGACTGGGATCTTATTGTATTAAAAAGTCTTTGCACTGCAAAAGAAATCACCAATAGAGCTAAGAGACAACCCACAATGTGGGAAAAAATTTTTACCCGATACTCCTCAGACAAAGGTCTACTATCTAGAATATATAAAGAACTCAGAGAAATCAGACCCCCCAAATACAAAGACCTGATACAAAAATGGGCATCTGAAATAAACAGACATTTCTCAGACAAAGAAATAAAAGCAGCAAGTAAATACATGAAAAAATGTTCCACATCACTGGTCATTTGAGAGATGCACATAAAAACAACATTGAGATTCTCCCTTACCCCAGAAAGAATGGCTATTATCAACAAAATCAACCAATAACAAATTTTGGCTGGTCTGTGGGGAGAAAGGAACCCTTCTCCATTGTTGGTGGGAGTGCAGGCTGGTGCAACCACTGTGGAAATCAATATGGAGATACCTCAAAGTACTAGGATTAGAGGTTCCACTTGACCCAGCCATCCCTTGCTGGGTATCTTTCCAAAAGAATTAAAAGAATCATATCACAGTGATATATGTACTCCCATGTTTATAGCAACACAGTTCGTAATAGCTAAAACTTGGAAACAAACCAAATGCCCATCAACTGGAGACTGGATAAAGAAGATGTGGTTTTTCTATAAAACAGAGTGCTACTCAGCCATAAAGAATGAGAAACTAGAAACATTTATAGAGAAATGGATGCACATTGAGGCTATACTCTTAAGTGAAATAAATAGGACACATGAGTAAAACTGAATAGTTTCTCTGGTGGGAAAAACTAAAAGTGTAAATAAAGTTCAAATGGCATAATTGGAAGCATGACATAGGAAGAAAATGGCTGAAGGAGAAGTTGGAAGGGGAGGTTAAAGGAAATAAGGGGAAAGAAAAAATGTGAAAAAATGGAAACAAAGTCTTTTTAAATAGGGAAGGGTGAAGGGGGTGAAGGAGGGCAAGGGTGTGGGGGAAAAAACAAGAACCAAGACATAACATGTAAAGGTACAAGATCCCAATGATAAATGTAATTGTATTGTTTGGTTTAAATGTACCAATATACTTAATGGGGAAAAAAGAATATAAAAGTGAAGAAACTGTTGAAATTACCCTACTCTTAAATTTAAATTGGAAATAGAAAAAAAATTTTATCTTATTTTCCTAAAAATTACCTTTTCTCCTAATTCTTCCACTGCAAAGGTCTAGAAGCAGATACAGAATCACTGTGCACTCAGACTCCAAAGTGTCATCTCTGAGCATTATTTCCCGTAAAAATTCCCAGTTTGAAAACAGAAAATGTATGAGGAGCCTGGAAAATGTCTTTGTGTTAGAAAACAAGGAAGTCATCCAAGACCAAGAGTTGTATAAGGACATGCAGTTGAAGGAATTCCTCTCAAGACAGAGAAGTACCTGACGCATTTTTCTCTGCCCCAGTTGGGGTAGGAGCAAGGTGTGTGGCCAGCACACCCCTCCTCCTTGCTCCCCTCTACTCCCCCTTGCTTGCCGTGGACTGGAACAGTTCGCTTTAGTGTCCTCCCTAGCTATCAAACCACCATTTTCCACTCCAACATGAGTGCAGCTAGGCTATGTGGTGCCCTTTCCCCACTCCTGCACTGCATTCTGTACAGTTGCGTTTTTGAGAACAAAGAGAGCACTCAGGAGTAGCTAAGATTAGGAAGGGAGGGATCTGGTTGGTATCCTTATTTGCAGAGCCAATATTCCCAGTAAGCCTTCCAGAAGATTCCCTGATTTCAGTCCTCACTCTTGTTCCCACAAGCCTGCAAATTATGACTAAGTAGCCCTACCCAGGCACTTCTCTGAGGTTAGTCTAGGAGGGCTCCCTCCCCGGTATCAGGCCGCCTGTGCTATAGCACAGGCCATGTTATAATAAAGACTCACTTTGGTGTTCCTAGAAACCTGTTCATGAGTTATTTCTTGGGTAGTGTGTACTGTAAAAGTCCTGTAAATCTATCCAGGATTTTTATCCCTAGACTTAGTGCCTGACAGAGTGAATATACAGTGTCCAGCACAAGCTGGCAGAAGACGGTGACGGCTGGCAGTGACAGTGACTATCAGCTGGCCCTGTCAAACGTTGTCACCTGGTGACATCAGGACTGCTAGCAGAGCTGCCCTTGGCCAATTCATGATTCCCACCTGAATTGAGCTAAAGAATCCTAGGCTGATTGGCAATACTCGGGACAAAGAAGGGGCTCTTTGAACATTAAAAATAATTGCTGTGCTATATAAAAATAGATCAAATAATAACTACAACATCATAATCAGACTTGGTCATTTTTGCCAAGGGACTCTGTCAGTATTCTAAAATTTTCTAATAGTCTTTCTATTAAATCTGTATTTGTAAGTTGCCAAACATGTAATATGGTATAATTTTCTTTCTTTCTTTCTCTCTTTTTTGGTTTCTTTCCACAAAAATTTTCAGCTCACAAATGAAGTTATGGTGGAATTAGAATTTTGTAATGAAATAACAGATCTTAGAAACATTCGCTAACAGCAGCTAAAAGCCAGAGGTAAAGGGTTGCTCAAAATTTTAACTAATGAGTCATGGTGCAAATATTGCACCCAGTAACTCATCTAACCATGGCTACAAGTGAGATGCCTGCTGTTCTGTGTCTCTTGTCAGGAAGCAATTAGGAAGTGCCCAGTACCCCTATGAAGTGCTCCTGCTGAATCTATCTGAGCCTTTCTATAGACTTCAGTGTTTATAGAGTGTAAAGGAATAATGTAATATATTAAATGTCACTAAAATAAAACAATTTGCCAAACCGGTAATGAGAAACTGTCTGCAAATGACTTTGTTCTGTTATTGTTGTTGTTGCTGCTTTTACATAACAGCGAATATAAAATGGGGGAGAAAGGATTGTTACACAATAAAAGAGAAATAAGCACCTAAATAATTAGTGTGCAGACCCTCTTTGTATCATTATTTGAATGAAGTGTAAAGGAGACAGCTTTGAAGCTGCTAGGAAAATTGTCATAATGGTTGGATATTAAATATGTTAAGGGATTATTTTTACTGTTATTATTGTTACTTACCAGATGTATTAATGCTATGCCAGTGATATTTTTAAAAGTTCTTATGAATTAGTTGTCCATGATGATTTTTTTTTAGGAGAAATGACTCAGAGTCGCTTTAAAATAATGCAAGAAACAACCATAAGATTTGAAAACTCAATGATCAAAAGTTGGTTATATTAGACTGTTCTATTTTTTAGTATGCTTTACCTCCAACTTTTTATTAAAAGCACTAAATTCAAAATCTTAATAAGTAAAACAAAGAATCCAGGAGAAGAATCCTTGAAAAGCAGTTTCAGTCTTGCAGAGCAAACGGAATACGTAATCTGCACCCATAACCTGACTCCAACACCGGAAAGAGTGCTGTTTTTTCCAAAGTGGACATTGAGCAGCTGCTGACTAGGCTTTCAATCATTAAAAGGGTCCTTTTCCGGAAATTGACAGTTATGAAAATTTCTATGCAAATATTTTTGTAAATATTTGTACTATTTTAATAAAATGTAATGCATTGACACAGACATTGATTCCTCTATTAAATTAGACTAGTAGTATATGTATTCAAAAAACATTTAACTATTTAAGTTTATGCTTCTGTGCTTTGTGTTTTCTTCTGATGAGTCTACTTGGCTTTTCTCCTGATACTATACTCATTTCTCTGGTTTGACCCTACCTCAGTAAGTAATTACATTTTTCTCAATGTAATTTGTCTCTGCCAAGTGAATATATGAGTTTTTCAACCAGAATATTCTTATAAATTTGGAAAATATGCCAATTTCACTTTTTTTCCTTTCCTCATTGAGTTTATTGGTACATTTTAGGTATACAGTACAGTTACATTCATTATTGGGATCTTGTACCTTTACATGACAGGTCTTGGTTCTCATGTTTTTCCCCTTGTCCCTGCCCTCCCTTCACCCCCTCCTTCCAATATGTCAATTTCTTTTAGAGGAAATAGCTTTGTTGTTATTGAAGGAATTTTCTTCCAAGCATAGCCCAAGATATTTATGATGGGTCTCTTTCACATAGACATGAGCTAATGTACTTTGCAGAATGGCTTATAGTTCTGGGATATTTTATTTGGAATTACATTTTAAAGTGAGTGGGATTATTATTATATTAGTCACACATCTTTTTATATACTATTTTCTCAAACACTTTAGTACAATAAAATTTTAATTTACTATCTAGGGTTCTGTCTGGCCCTCCCTGAAGATAAGGTATTTGTACCTCCGCTGAGTTAATAATTGAGATTCCTCTGTTATTCCCCAGTCCCAGGCTTCTGTTCCTTTCGCTATGGAATGTCCATACTCCTGCACATCTCCAACGGGACGGTGATAGCACAGCGTGTGTGCCTGAACCTCACAGTGGTGGTGATGGTGAATGGCACACAGACTCTGCCCAATGTCTCTTCAGGGGAGAATCCTGTCAATACAACGGTATGTCAAAACATAACCCACAGCCATGACTTCAAAAATCCCACCATGCTAACTAATTGGTGTAGAGCTTAATATTCCTGGCAGGATAATAATAATTAGAAAAATGTTACTGTCAGACTGGTGAGTTCTTTTCTTAACCCAGAGAGAATTACAAGGCACAAGGTCAACAGAGGATTGAGCAAAAGCTGCTTTTATTGTAAAGTGACAGCAAAAAGCTGTGGGTTATTGAACCTGAGAGGGAACCCAAATGGGTTGTCAAAGTGACTCTGTATCTAAGGATTTTTACATACAAAAAAATGACAGTATCTCAGTCAAACTGAGATCAAGCTATGGGGTTACAAGCAGGAAAGTTTAACTTAGAATTATGCCTAAAGCAACTTGGGATATGCATCATTAATTGCAACTTCTATAAAATTAGCAGAACAAACACATTCTTTATAGAGGTATGGCTACCTTATTTCTAGACAAGAAAATCTCACCAATCCAATGAGGCCTCTGTTGTCTCTGGAGCCCTGGCTGAGTCACCCTGACTCCCTCTCTGCCTTGACTCTTCCCTAGCTTCCCAAATGCTGGGATTACAGGAGTGCCCCACCACACCCGGCAACAAGTATAGTTTAATAATAAGTACATATTTTAGAGGCAGACTTTTGGGCTTTAGTATCAACATGGCTGTTTATCTTCAGCAAATGACTTACCTCCTCTGTACTCAGTTCCTCATCTGTAAAATAGGGGCAACAAGGGAATGCTTTCCTCATGCAGTTGTTAAAAGTATTAAATAAAGTATTGCTAATGTATGACAAATACTTTGAGTACTGCTTGACAGAAGACACTATTGGAGTTAGTTATCCCACCATGCTTGTGCCTACGCACATTCACATACGATTAACCTCATTAAGATCCATTATGTTTTAATCTCCTCATCACCACTAAAATGTAAAGGGGTTATATTAAAACTTCATTTAAAAGAAGTTTTGAATGAAGTTTTAAAGGAATATATACTAAATGAGGATATGTTTTAAGATTTATGGGACCACATTCAATTTATTTCATAATCATTGGTGACCAAATATGAAAAGGATAGGGCAGGGACAAGGGAAAAAATGAGAACCAAGACCTGTCATGTAAAGGTACAAGGTCCCAGTGATGTATGTAAGTGTACTGTATACCTAAAATGTACCAATAAACTCAATGAGGAAAAAAAAGAAAAGGATAAATTACAGTATATTCAAATAAACCATAAAAATGAGTACATTACATGATGGCTATCTGTGCCATCATGACTGAATCCTGTGCATAGAATGTTGAGAGACAGAAGCCAATACCAGAGGAAAATTATATCCAATACAACTCCATTCATATAAACTATAAACAGCCAAATCAAGTGTTGCTGGTGGAAGCAACACAGATAGGTCTTTAAGAGGCTGCACAAAAATATTACAGTGGAGGTCATGTGCATCTGAAAAATGCATCTATTACTAGTGTGTACTGAAATGTGGAAAAATTCAAAATACTGCAAATTTGCATGTATTATGTTCATATAATAAAGCATATGACTTTTACTTATTTTCAGTTGCAATCTAGAAACTATCAAAAATTATAAAGAATGCAAATTTTTTCCTTTCAAATACTGGAAATATGGATATTGCTAAAAAATACAACAAAAAATGCCCTTAATGAAAATTCTCAGTAATTGGTTTTGCAAGACATTTCAACAGTCATCACAACAATATTGCTATGCTCGAGACATAGATACTTTTAATAACACTTGCAAAAATGTTTCCATAAGCAACTCATTTTTGATGCATTGCACCTAACACAGCTTTTTTTTTCTTGTCAAAGAGCCATATCTATGTCATCATTAGAATTTTCTTCAATTTGTGGTCAAAATAGAGGTTTCAAGCATGGAAGCCTTGGTGCACCTGTAGCTTTCTGAGCACCTTTTTATTTATTCAGACATTGTGCTACAAGATGTCTAATAAATATTCTGGGCCCTATTTTCAAATTGTTCTTTAATATGAACTGTGTTTTTTTTTTCCTTTTGGGTTATATGAGATACAATTGTGCAATCTGTACCAAAAACAAATATAACACTGACTTCAAAGATTGTGAGAAAACAAAAAACAACCTAACTTCAGAGCTCACAATATATCTCAGATACAATTTTACTATCCCTTAACAAAAAACTAGTGGTTAACTGCTACGGTTTAACATTAGTCAAGCACAAACACACAATTACTCATTACCTGGAACCTATGAACTGGAATATGTAAGAATATTTAAGAGTCTTCTTTTATCTCTCAGGTCAGCCATGACCTCCAAAAACCACAATATAAAGAAAAGAGGAAGCTGGGCATGTGTCACAACTGTCCCCAGCAATCTGAGAGGCTGAAGCAGAAGGATCATGAGTTCGAGCCCAGCATGCACAACTTAGCAATTTAGTGATACTCCATCTAAAACAAAAAATAAAGGATGAGGATGTAGCTCAGTGTGAAGGTCCTGGGTTCAATCCCTAATATTACTAGATAGATAGATAGATAGATAGATAGATAGATAGACTACTTTTGTAGAGGTGAAAAACGCAATGAGGTCTTCTTTAGGATTCCTTTTTAAAGTGTTACATACTTTCTATCTACTGTCATTTGGACACTTTTTTCATGACTTTGATGTAATTAGATTATTCAAATTTTCTACTTCTCAAGTAATTAATATTTTTCTGCATCAGAAAAGTCATCTTAAATTTCAACTATATTACTATACCTTTAATATCTTTTTGTTATTATTACCATCATTATTACTGCTGTACAGGATCACCAAAGGGAGTTTTAATTTAACAGGGACTGTACTGTAACATAAGGAGATAAGTACACAGGAGCTTGCTGACCTAGACCAAAACCCGAGAGGTGGCTGGGGAATGCTGCTTATACAACAGCTGCAGTCCTGTGTCAGTGAGAAAACAAAACAAAACAAAAAAAGCACTTCTAAATTTGTTTTTACACTCTTTTAAAATTTTTTGTGATTTCTCTTTCTTGATAAGACTTCATTAAATGTATCTATCCCTTTTATTTCTCAAAAATCTTGCCTTTAATTTTATGAAGTCTACTTCCCTTGAATTTCACTACTATCTGCTTTAGACCTTTTTATTATGTTTAAATTGTTCATTCTCACCTTGATTCTGTAATCAATGCCCAGTTCATTTACTGTCAGTTTTTCTTAAATATTAAAAACATTTACAAATGTGAGTTTTCCCTAAACATCTTAGTAATGCATTGGTTAGTACACAGAGATGAACTGGTGTAACACAGAGACTACAAAATAAAAGTGTGAAGCACAACAGAAGTTTGTTTCTCTCCCAGGTAACATGCTAAGGTAAAGGGGAGATTTTGCTCTTTTCGGTATGAGGTTCATGTCTAAATTAGACACTGACTCCACTCTCCCAAAGGTTCTCCTTTGTTCATGTCTGATGAAAATAACCCCTTTTTATCTGTTAGTCTCTTGGCTTTTCTCCTTTTCTAGCTCTCTTCCTGATGAAGTTGGCTTGAGCCTTAAGGATTGGCCAATCATTTTGGTCACTCAAATAGACTTCTCATTGCCCAGCCTAAGTATTGAGTGCAATTCTTGGACTTGCAGTTCTTGGACCATGGGTCTAGTCCTGGGAGGGACTTTATTCAGTTTTTTATTAATCTGAAACCAGTTCTTATTGCCAATATATATCACCTTCCAAATTTCTCAGTGGTATTGTTTTCTTTATTCTTTTAGCTTTCATTCTGACTGCGGTATCATTTTCTTTATATTTTATAGTCTTTACTCTTTTTAAAATTAATTTTGTTGGCACAAAGTCTTTATTCTTAATTCTTAATGTCAACCCTTCTGACTCCGTAGTGCAACTAGAAAGTTGCTTATATTAATATATATTTTCTGTCATTTTGATAGAATTTGAGAAGTAGGAATGATGATTCATGAAGTCAGCAGTTATCTCTCTTAAACCTCATTTGATTACATTGGCTTTTCCTGAAGCATTGTCATACTGTACACCTGCATATTCCTTTTTATTACAGGTATTGTGGATTTATTAAAGGAGTTACATCTTTATTTGGAATGATAGGAGGCTTACTTTCTTCAAATATAGCTGGACAAATCCTTAGTGAGGTAAGGAGCAGACAGGCGTGTATATGTTCCCATTACTAATTGTACAGAGTAATATGTGCAAACTTGTAGAGGAGATGCCAGCAGGAAGTGAATATGAGTTTTTGTGTCATATGAAAATAAATTTGGTCAAATCAGGCATCCCTCCAAATCTATGCATAATTCAATTTCTTTGTCTTTTCTGAATATCAGTTAGTTGTGTTGAAAACTTAGGTCATCAGTCATTGGAGCAGATGTGGCTTTTCCCTGACTAGTCTCTCTGGAGTAAAAAGATGAGAAATACAGAAGCTGAACAGAGGAACTCAGAGCCTCAGAAGGCCAACAGGGCATTTAGGCTTTAGAGCCTAAGTTAGAACAAAATGGAACCATACACAGGAAATTAGGCAGTCTCTCGACAGTGCTCAGGAGTAGCTACAAAAGTCCTGCAGCAAATACTATGCACCTCTGTGAAAAATAAGGCATTTTCCTTTGGGTTGGGAATAAGAAAAAGATACAGCTATCACTGTTTATATTAAACTGTGTTATGTCTTACCTAGTGAAATAAGCATAAATATATTAAAAAAGAATGTAAAAAGAAGAAATACAATCAGAACTTTTAATGGGAGGTATTCAAAGGCAATCAGAAGACTACACATATTAAAAGATTCAAATTATAAAATTTCTTCCAATCTGTCTGAATGATCTGAAGATTCAATGTAATCCCATGACCTGGGCGAGAACCACCACCTGCGGGTGTCCTTCTCCAAGTTCACTATCTAGGGTGGGCCTGTGGCCGGGCGCCCTGGCGCCAACTTCCGTCATTCCAGAAAAAAGCCACTTTAAAAATCAGCTAAAGTGACCTTAACAGACCAGAGATTTTATTTTTTTAAAGAGAAATCAATTTACCTGTTTTTAAAAAAATTAAATCTAGTTCACCTTGTTGACCTTGCGGTGACGGTGATAGCTCAGGCTCCCAGGGGCTGTGGCAGGGGTCATCCCTACCCCCAGCCTGGGTGGGCCCGTGGGAGGGTACCCAGGCCACAGTCGGCTTTCTTGTGCCTTAACCTGCCTGCCTCATGGCCATACCACCCACAGGCAAAGTGGGTCCTGGCTGGGCAAACACCAAGCAGCCTACTGCTCCCTCCCACCGGATCATGTGCCCAGCTCTGGGCAGGAGCCTGTTGGCCAGGGCCGGCTGACCACCCCCTTCCCTACTCAATCAATGATGGATCAAGTGATTCTCCCAGTCCCTGGGTGCCGTCCTGCCCCCTCCAGGCCCAGAGGGCACTGACCTCTGCTTCAGCTTTGGAGCCCTTGTAATCTCCATATCATACCTGATGTGGCTGCAAATGCTGTGCCTAGCAATATCCAGTTGACCAAATATTCTAATCTTTTTTCATTTATATGCAATAGTTTTAAGTAACTTTTTATAGCAAGATGATACAATGGTATGAGTGTAATCCAAGCTTCTCGTATTACTTTGTATGCTGTACTTTTTATTTTATTCCTTATAATTAATGAAGTCACAGGCAGGATCCGGTCTCCGGAGCTGGGGACCCCGGGCGTTCAGGAACCTGAGGCCAGGAGCCAGGTCTCCTTGCAGGGCTTGGGCTGGTGCCCACCCGCCTTCCTCCACCTGCCGTTGCCTTACCAGCTCCACTTGCAATCTGCCTGGACAAACAGCAAAGGCTGTTTCAGGGTGTTTCATTTTTCTTCAAATTTTGGACCAAAGTTTTATTTCTGTTGCTTGTCTGCCTCTGATGCTGGGGCCCAGGCGGTGGGACCAGCGTCCAGTCCACTGCACTCTCCACCACCCTCTGGGCCGCCCAGCAGCAGGCAGGGGTCTCCTTGGATCCTGAGTCCATAATGGAGTGTAACAAGGGTGTAAATATTTGTGATTTTTTTTTCTTTATATACCTGTTGTCAGACACGGAGGCAGCACATCGCAATTTTTTATGGTGACAGATGTATATTTTGATAACGGCGGTTACAGGCTCAGTGTTGCACACAGCAAGCCTTGGCCACACATTCCATTTACCCATCCCGATGGCTTATAATGGGAAGAACTGATTAAAACCGTTTTATAACAAAAAAACAAAACAACAAAAAAAAGAAAATCTAGGTTATTTTTGTGAAAATAGAAGAGGTCTTTATACAATTGATATGTGTTCACTGAAGCCCAGGAATAACCAAGAGGCTGCTGAAGAAGAAAAACTAGAATATTTGCTCTAAGTGGTATAAGAACACTGCCCTGGAAAATGTGAAGATATATAAGAAGAAATATAAAAGTAATAAATCTTAACAAAGTAATAATTAAAGTACATGGAAATAGGTTAAATTTGCCAGTGAGTATATGAAAACACATTGTTCTCTCTCTACCTACCTCTCTATCTATATATGCTTATGTGATACTGTTGCTTACATAACATCCTTTAAAAACTACACAAAGTTTTGAAACAATATGTCAGAATGGAAAAAAGATGAATCAGTTAATTAGGTACAATAAGAAACTACTTCATCAATAGCTACTGCACTTTCCTCTGAAATCAAAGTCATGACTACTACAGCCTCGAAGGGTTCCCCAGGAGGGGAAGGAGTATTGATCATGGCCCTTGGAGGTTTGGAGACTTGAGGGATGACAGCAGTGGTTGAGCTTGTTCCTCCCTGTCTCTGCCACCCCACTCCTCAGAGGCTGTAGCACCTGAGCCAGCAGCAGGGTGGTGTCACTGTCAGCTCTGGCTCCCATTAGCCCAGAGGATGGCTGAGGCCACCACAGAGGTCAGGGGAATACCTTGGGCCCAAGTGTCCCAGGTCATCCTTAGAAGTCAGTGAGAAGGGACTGACAGCTGTCTGCAGGAGCACAGCACCCCTGCTCATTTATGTCAACATATGCTTCTTCTTTAAAGTGCCACTGGCAAGCCAGGCATAGGGCCGCACGCCTGTAATCCCAGAACTTGGGAGGCTGAGGCAGGAGGATCACTGTGAGTTCGAGACCAGACTGGGCTACACAGTGAGTTCCAGGTCAGTCTCAACTACATAGTGAGACCCTGTCTCAAAAAACAACAACAAAAAACCAACCAAACAAACAAAAAGTACCACTGACAAAGTAATGGTGTAGAAAACAATATATTTTGAGATATTGGTAATAGTTATGATGTCATAAGAAAATCCATTATTTATTTCTATTGGTATTAAAGTCATCAGCACTTCACTTCTTGCCTACCTTCATAATAGGTTTCATAAAGGTACTCTGGCCACATTTAGAGAAAGGACTCCCTGGTGAAAAGAGAAGAGGCAGAGAGACCAGGATAAAGGCTGTTTCTGAAGTTCATGTGAGTCATGCTGGTGGTATAGGTTAAGATGCAGGCAGAGGAGATGGAGAAGCAGCCAGATTCCAAAGTCCCCTGGAAGGAGAACTGGGCATGTAAGAGAGTGCAGGCAGGAGAAGAATCATGGATGGAACCTAGGTATTGGCTTTAACAAAAAAGGGATAAATTATCAAGGTGTAAGACTTGGGTGGGGCTTTATACATGTTGAGTTAAAGATGCTAACTGGGAGCCTTAAGAGAGTGTGCAGAGGACAGGTAAGCATACAAGTCTAGAACACAGTTGAGAGGTCCAAGTAGAAGATTAGTGTTTTGGGAAGATCAGCATATAGTTGGGATTCCCTAAGAAAACATCTGTACACAAAATGGAGGACCCAGTTCAGAGCCCTAGGCTAAGCCAACATTTAGAGAGCTGATAAAGAAGGTACAAACAAAAGGAAACAAGACAGGGGCCAGAAAGATAAAAAGAAAACCAAAGGAAGGGGCCCTGGGGAAGCCTAAGGCTGACCTTGCGCTGGGATGGAGCAAATTCTGTCTGGTGTGAAATTCCTGTGGCGTGCCAAGTGACACAGAAGTCAGTGCATTGAACTCTGGCCTTGGCAGTTGCTGCATTCTGAGATGCTGAGACATAATCATAACACATATATCATTCAGATCCCAGCATGTGACTTCATGCTGGGTGATTATCTCCATCATTGTTGTGGTGTGGGAAGATGAGCTCGATTTTCTTTACTGAAATAGTATGAGAACTTGTGGATCCTGTTGTTGTCAGAGTATCTATATCTATGAAGATACAAAAGCTTAACCTGATTACAAGTTATGTAAATAAAATAATAATCCTGTGTTCTTAAATTGTCTTCAGTGTTTTTATATGATATTGTACTGATGTAAATGGATTTTATCATCAGTAGATCTGGGTAAAAGTGTTTGGGTCTGTGAAGAGAAATAGACTGTACAGCTCCGAACTTCCATGAAGTCACACAAACACAGTTATAAGAGTAGGGAAGGGTCCCACATTGCTACACCTACAAGTCAGCTCAGTCATTTCCCAAACCTGTGGCTTCTTCTTCTGAACATCACATTCCCGAGGCTCTGGGACAGAGAAGAAACTTGGGACTATGATAGTAACTATCTCCCATTGGCTTTTTAAACTGGCATTGTCAACCAAACCATCTAAGAGATGTGAGCTCACACCGAGCTGGAGGGAAAAGGAAGTGTATTCATATAGATACTTCATGGTTTCTTTTTAGTGTCCTTACTTCATTTATACATGTTTATTGTGTTATCAAACTGAAACAGGCCTGTTTTGCCCACTAACCAGTGTGCCCAATCACTGAAACAATCATTCTTGCAAAAAGGAAAGAGGTCATGTTCAAGGCAGCCAAATATGGAAGGGGTGGCCCAAGTTTCAAATCCCTCTCCCCAAGGACAGGGTTTGGAGTGGTCTAAGGTATGAAGAAAGGTGATTGGAGAGAAGTGATCAGTGCTCTGCACATGCAAAGTCAAACGTCATGTCTCTCCAGTAAATGGTGCTATTAGTATGTCTACTTAGGGCTTTTGCACATTTTTACTTAGGTTGTCTTTTAGTTCAGAGTTCTTTATGTATTGTAGACCATAGTTCCTTATCACATATATGATTTGCAAATAGTTTCTTCTGTTCTGTCTTTTTATTTTCCTTGATACACAAAAGTTTTTAATTTTTATGAAATCCAATTTGTTTGTTTTATTTCATGTGTCTTTGAAGTAATATCTAAGAAACCATGCCACAATGAGAAAACAAGCTATTGTAATCCAGCATGGCCAGGGTATCTAAAACTGTACCTTGATTTACTATGATTGTTTTATGTGTTTTACATGGTTTTTTGCCTTTTAGTCTGGCTGTTGATCTGTTTATGATAATTAACTTGATAAGGGCTTATAAAATAAATAAGTGGATCTGAAAAAAGAAAAGAACCACTTATCAAACCCAAAGTCATGAATATTTACTCCTAAGTTTTCTTCTAAATTTTAGCTCTTGTCTTTAGGTATTTCATTTTGAGTTTTTATAAATGGTGTGAGGTAATGGCATTTTGTTGTAGCAGCCCCAGAAGACTGAGATATATTCTTTAATTTATTTCAACAATATTTTGTAGTTTCAGAGTATAAGTTTTGGACTTCTTTTACTGGATTTATTTGTAAGCATCTAGTTTTTATGCTACCAGAATTTTTTCTTATTTTAACATTTGGATTGCTCATTGCGAGTGTGTATACAATTGATTTTTTTATACTGATATTGTGTCCTGCAGCTTTGTTACACTTGTTTAATTGTTCTAATAGTGTTAGCCAAGCACCTGAAGAGCCTGAGTGACCTCCTTATGAAGAGATGAGTGACCAGCACAGGAGGCCAGGCTGCAGGGTCACACACAGCACAGGAAGAAAGTGGAACAGAAATTCCTGGGGCCATCTCCCCACTACACAAGCTGTGTGAGCTTCTCTTTTGAAGCATGTGTTTTTTTGTAACATATTACATGTCTCAGTTTCAAAAGTGAGTTTATGTATCTATCTTCATCTTTGTATGTTCTTCTATTGTTAAATAAGCCAATAAATAAGCATAAGATAAAAATTTTGTTATGGCATTATGAAAAAACTTTTGCACAATTTTCAGCTTTCACTCCCCCTCATTGCTGATGGGCAGACTGATGGAAAATCTTAGCTTTCTATATTTTCAGGGTAGCCCATTTGGAGGAAAAGTCCATCTCATTCATACTAAAAATGTTAATCCCAACCTCCTTGCTGGGCCCAATGGAGAAATCAAACTTGTTTTCAAAAGCAACCAAAGGTGACAGATGAGAAATGAATAAGAGTCTAGGGAAGGAAAAGAGGGGAATAAATGCTCATGAATAGACAAGACACAAGACAATGACTTCTCTAGAGAACCACACCTGAATGATCAGTGGTGAGACCTACAGTAGGTCCTGAGCTCACCAGATATGGTATCTTGGTATCTAAATACCAGAGGAAGTAAGAAAAAGTGTCCATAGATTTAGGTGATTCTGTGCCCTAAAAACAAGTTAATTAAAGACAGTTTGCATCAAAATAGGCTTCTTTTCTTTCCACCCACTTTTACCTTTGGAGTCTCTAGTACCACCCCAAAGTTGTTTTATTCATTGACTCACTTGGTGACTCAACAAGCATTTATTGGCATAGACTGTGGAAACAATACCATTTTTGTGTTTAAGATGTTGCCAAATATTTCATGGCATAGTTCTGGAACTCTATCCAGGTTTACATGCAAACTGGGTAGAGGAAGCTTGTCAGTGTAGCAGGGGAGGAACAATAGAAGCGTTTGCTGTGCCATCTGGAGCCCATCAACCTGCAGGCCACCAGCAACCTGTGGGGCATCTCTGCCAGATCACTATGCTCCTATCTGGCCAGAACACTCACGACACACAATGGCAGTGCCTATACCCCTCTTCCAAGTAGGAGGAAAAACAAGCAAATCACTCCCTAGATCTCCTGCTGATGGACCTGGACAGGACCTTGAACAGTCAGTGAAAAGGCAAAAGCTGTCCACATTCCATCTAACTGGGCCTCAGGTCCCAACACACCTCACCTGTGTTTTTCTCAGAAATGTTTGCTCAATGTTTGTTCTTTTCCACATGCAACTTTTTTCTCTTCACTAACTCCTTCTCATAGGACTTAAACACAAGTGTTTAAACTCTCCTTTTTCTGGTACCCTTCTGCAGCTACTTTCTCACCTCTTTCCTCCCTCTACTCCCAGCCATGTCAGCAGTGTTCTCTTTTCTGTTTTCTGCTCATCTCTCATGTGGCCTGATCTGAAGATTTGACATCAGTGACTCTTCTCTCCCTTTTGAAACACATTCTCTTTCTTTCCCTTAGTACTCTGTTCTCTTGCTTTTCCTTCTACCTCTCCCTTCTTCCATCCCTCCTTTCCTTCCTTCCTTCCCTTCTTCCTTCTTTCCTTTTCTTATCACCCTCCAGCTACCATTAACTACTAGAATCCTTGAAGGATTGTTCTCAAGCTTTCGGGCATACATTTTGATCCTTGGACAATCTCATTCATATTAAAAACATTAATTGCTAGATGAATTAATCCTAGATGATTCCTAAATTTGTTACTGGTACCCAGATCTCATCAGTGAAGTCCAAACCCGTGTGGTCATTTTCCTTCTTGTGATCTTCACTTGGGTGTGATTGCTAACTGCCTGAGAAGCACCTCCTTGGATCTAGCAACAAACAAAACCCAAGTGTCACTCTAGATATCGTCTGCTCTTGGTATTAGAGTCTTGCCAGGTTTGTCTCCTAAAGCAAGTAATTCACTCTCCTCTCACTGCACCCTCCCCCTCATGCCAATAGCCATCACTCTTTCCTGGACTACACCACAAAACCTTACTCCATGCAGAGCAGCTTTAAAAGACAAAAACCCTGGTTATGACCCTTTCTTCACTGGGTCCACTATCCGCTGTGCATTCTTGGCCTTAATGCTTCTATAGCTTCTCCTAATCCCCGATTTCTTATTCTCTGCCTTCTGGACACTTGTGATTGCTCTTTCCTGCCACCAAACCTTTGCTTTGGCCATGCCTTCTTCTTATATCATTTTCCCTCTTTTCTGTTACTGTTGTCCTTCAGATCCCAGCTCAGAGAGGCACTTCAGCTTGGTGGCCCTGATTCACCCTCTAGTTAGTGCACCTGTTCTTCTAACGTGTCAGACCTCCCATTATTCTGCAATCAACAACTGTCATTACACAGCTAGGATTCTCTGGTTAAAGGTGTCTGTCTTCCTAAGATGTTAAGCTTCTTTATGCTCTGTGTGATTTTGATTTCTGTCATGATCCCAGGAATGTAAACATATTCATTAACATTCACTTAGTGTTTGAGCATTTTTATTCTCTTTCGTGGTCCCTGAGCTGGCCATGTTGTGCTTAATGAAACTAGGCATACCCCACATACTCTGGACATTGACAATGGGGTCAAGCAGTGTGAGTCGTATGTACATTTCCAGAGACCTTTTAGACTAATGAAGTGAACACTGAAAGAGGCCCCCTGAATGGTGGGAAAGACCCCAAGAGTCAGAGAGGCAGACAAGGGCACCTGAGATAGGAATGATCCCCTGAAGAAATGTTCATGGAGACAAGAGAGAAACTGGACAGTTCACTCACTAAGATGCACAGGTGTCTGCACAGATCTGCCAAGCAGATGTGGGGCTGGCGTCAGATACTCAGCCAGAAGGCAGCTAAGAAAGAGCTGACTCTGGTAAGTGCTGGGAAGTGCAGGTACAGGGAGGGCACTGGCCCAAAGCTAGTTCCCAGCAGGGTGAGTTGTCAGGAAGAGGCAAAGTCAACTATTCCATGTGCATTAGTTGGGGCGATAGGAGGAGAATTCATTTCTCTTTTCCTCTCTTTATTGTCCTTACTTGTCAGTGTTCAAGGAAGCATCTTGCCCACATTCCATGCCTGGAGTGTCCTGTATCCCTCCTCAGGCATGTGAGAGCCACTTAGGCTTAGAGCAGGGCCTCCTGGCCCAGGACTTGGGGTTGGAGATGTTCTGCTTTCCATGGCCTCTGCCTTTCTTTTGATGGAAACTCTTAGGTTCATCTTCTGACCCTTGGGCCTCATTTCCCTGGTAATTTCCAGCCTCACTGCCATGGTTCCACTTTCTCTTCTACTTTGGCAAGAAAATGTCCCCCAGCATTGGATGCTTTTCTTTAACATAAAAGGAAGACACTGAGAAAGTCAAATGTATCTATGATTTCAGGAGTTCACGGTTAAACAGTGAGCCTTTTTTTCTCCTATAAAAATGTCCAATCTTCATAAAATCTTCCATATTATATAGCCAAGGTTTCTGAGAAGATACTGGAAACAAATCCAGTTCCAGTTAAATGGCATATCAGGCAAGCAGACTCAAAAGGGCAAAGCTGTGAGGAAAAGTAATGAACTACCAAGTGCTGGGACATCACATGCACTCCAGTGGCTCAGAAGTGGGTGAGTGCCTGCTCTTTTGCCCAGTCCTGCACTTCTGCTTGGGCAAAAATGAGGTAGAAGATTAGCCCCACTATATCAATAGCAGCTGCAACCAAGAACACATTTCTCCATCCAAACTCTGCATTTGAATCCTGGAGGCAGGAAACTACAAGTTAGTAGTGGTCACTTAATTCTCATCCCTTCCTGGTTCAGAAAGACTAGGGTTCTATGTCTTTGTGCTCCCTCCCAATGCTACTCCAGCTTCCTAGGACCCTAGGTGTCCCCTAAGTGGCAATGGTCAGCTCTTTCCCTCATTTCTCCAGCCTTTGCTTAAATATTGCCTTTCCCATGTACTTTTCCCACTGCGTTAAGCTGGAATCCCCCTCCTCTAATATGACTTATTCCCAATTCTCTTAGCGTTCACCACCACCAAATATACCATGTTTTGCCTAGTTCCCTAGATTTCTATCCATTTCTTTCCTACAATATAAGTTTCACAAGCAGAGGGACTTTTGTTGTATGCACTTAATGCATGGTACATACTAATGTTCAATATACATTGAGTAAATGGATGAGTCAACCAATCAACCAATGAATGATAGGAGAGGCAAGATCAACTTGAAAATTCCCATTTTGAACACCATTTCCTGCCAGTGTGTTAGAAGGCAGTGGCTAGAAGGGTAAGAAACAAGGAGGGATTTGATTTCATAAGATATACATTTATGCTTCCTTTGTTCTCACTCATTTTTCTAACTTAGTGGCAGGAAACCATAGAAGCCTTAAGAGGATATTCATGTGAATGAGGCAGACATCTTTCTTTGTGGAAAGTCTGCACCAGTAAGATTCTCTGGCAGCAGGTTTATTGTGACTACGTTAAATGCATCTCCAGAAAGGAAGGCTGCACAAATATGAAAACACCATGTGAGCATTATGAGTGGGAGTGGTGTCTGCCCAGCCCATCCTGAGCATTCCTAGGAGGTGCACGCTGCTCCTCACTCTGTCACTCACTCACTTGGCATCTTTTCACACATTCTGCAAACATTGTCTGGGTTCCTATGGGGGGCAGCCACGTATTCCAGTTTGCCTAGAACTTTCTAGGTTTTAACACTGAAAGGCTGACATTCTGAGAAACCCCTCGGACTCAGGCAAACCAGGATGGTTGACCCCTACATGCCTCAGGAGAAATGCTATGAATATTACTGAAGTTTTGGTTGTTGGCATAAGAATTTCATTTTACAAGACTTTGCAAAGCATAAGCTGATAACCTAGCGCATTCTTGTTCAGTCCACACCCCAGCATGGTAATTTCTCTGCACAGACTGAGCCTAGGCTGGAGACAAGGGGATGTTGAGTGCATGAGATTCATGAGTTATAAGTTCATCCATTGTGGAGGGAACAAAAATACCTTTAATCCGACTTCTCCTTATAACCTCTATAGGTTTCTCTCATGAATATTCAGCAGAATATTTGACCTCACCTGACTGATGAAAACTCCAGCAATGGTGGGAGAGATGGCTCCAGCTATATGTGCGAAGATTTGCAATAGTCCCTTGAGGAAGCCAGCATACCTGGGAGAGAGGGAGAGGTTGGGAAAAGGAGACAACCCCATGCAAGCAAAGGGTTCACCTCAGCTGCTCGCTGTAAGTCTGTGCTTAGCTCAAGGGATGCCTAGAACTGTGCTCACCTCAGGTAGGCCTAAATGAAAGGTGTTTAATTGTTTGTAAAAATCCTCTGCTGGGGTCTGAGACTTCCAAAAGGTGATCTGTGCTAATTTGTCAAAACCATTTATAAGAAATGTGAAGACTGGTGATTTGTATTTGGTTTATATATTTTCTTAGTTCCTGCTATTGAGCCCGATCCTCTAGCCTTGTTTTGGAATATATACAAGAGTCTTTACTGGAATGGATGTTGACTCTCTGAAACCAACCTATCTCCCATGAGTCTTGGTGGTTCATCCTTTGGAGATGAGAAGATCCTGTTCACGCCCAGGACCCCAGAAGGAGGGTCTGGAAGTCTCAGTCAACTGTGGTATTTCCTATGTCAGCAGTAACTATTTCTCCTATAGTGTGGTGTCCTTTCACTTTATGAGAGCCTTACTTGGGTCTGTCTACTTTGTGGGGTTTCACAAACCTTTCAGGGATGAACCTGATTGACTGCTGCATTCCATAAGACAGAGGGATATGTGTGTCTCTATCAGTGGAGCTGTCAGTATAGCCACAGACTACTCTTGCTGACATCTCAGGGTGACTTCAAAGAGCTCTTTGCATGTAAAAGTGATGGGAATGTTTCCCGTGGCCTGTGGCACATGCCACTCTTGACTTGCGCATCAGAGCAGACTTAAAGCCACTGCCTCTGAACTGAGGCTCTGTGCAGATGAGATAACATGGTCCTTACCGAGGAGCAATATCCAAGAAGTTAACAAGAGCTCCTGATTCACAAAAGCTACTGGAGGCAGCAGACAGAACCAAGAAGGCCATGGTGGCACCTTGGCTGGATCTTACCCAAGGCAGAGGCACAAGGAACATAGACGAGAAGAAAACCCCTGTGGCAGAAGGAAGAAATGAATAAATAGGAGGCTGCCTTAGCCACCCACATCCACCCTGCATCCAGCCGGACCATTACCTGTGGCAGTGAACACTTTCCTGATGGTGATGAGTCTGAGGATTTTTCTGGAGAGAAGAAAATCTGCCAATAGGCCTCCAAGGACAATGCAGATACAACCGACAATGAAAGGCAAGGCCGAGAGGATTCCACTCTGAAGATTGGAGAGGAAGTAAGTGCATGCACCCTCGGCATCCACCAGGATACAGATGAATTCCTGGGCAAATGGCCTCACCCACTGCCCTTCTCTGCACACACATCACTTTTAATGTCCATGCCATCTTACTGGAATGAGCCAATACAAGTTTAGTGCATGGGCAAAATATGCATATGGCTCAATTTGAAAAAAAGCTCTTAAATAGTTTATAGTGCTTGTCTTACATATAAGGATCATCTTGAAATAGATCTTAAAAAGACCAAACCCCAGCAGAAGAATGGATAAAAGATATAAACAAGTTACAAAAAAATAAGTTGACTCTAAGAATGTTAAAAGGTGCCTAACCTCGCTTATAATATAACAAATGCAAAATAAAACTTCAGTGGAAATTACTTTTCAAGGATGAAAACTCCAAATGCTTTTGGAACATGCCTAGTGACTACAGTGTGGGGAATTAGGTTTCCATAAATCCCATCTGTGCTGTAGGGAAAGCACCTGGACAATAACTATAAAAGTTCAGAGTGTGTTTACACTTCTATTTCACGATCTGATATGCAGACATCGACTCTACAGAAACAGTGGCATAAACACCTGATAAAGCAAGCTTCCTCCACAGCACTGCTGAGAGATTGGAAACAACCTAAATATTGCTCAGTAAGGTTCTCACCCAGTGATGGAAAAATATTTTTGTGATATATTAAATGCTTAAGAAAACTAGTATATAAATCATAGCAGAATATACAACATGTTCTATCTGCATAGTGGGCCTGGGGAACAGAGAAGGTTAGACAGGAATGAGAGTAAGATTTTTCACTCTTTGTATAACCTTATAAAGTCAAAATGTTGCACAGTTTTTAAAATTTTATATGTTTTTTAAAAAATGTTACACCTGTTGTCACTCTGACCTCGTTAAAATTCTATTCAAGCAAATGGAAGGAGAAGAAGACCATCGTTTGTTGTCCATAATCCAAACAATGGGAAGGACTTTCCTTCCACCTGGTGCAGGTGGCTCATTTCACAGGTGAGTAAACCAAGACTTGCAAGGCCCCTGACTGATGAGAAGTGGCTGAGAGTGCGGGAAGACCAGGTCTTGACTTCTTTAAATCTTTTTTTTTTTTT